CCAGGAGTCGTCACAGACCGTCCCCCAGGAGCCATTATGCCACAGCTCCACCCTCCCTGAGCACTCGCTACTGCCCCCCTGCAGTCTCACAGGGAAGTGGCCTATGGGGAAGATAAATACTTTAAAATAAAAAGCTGTACAGCACACAGTGAACATATGTGTGGATGACAGAGCTCAGCGATCCACTTTGAAGGAGTTTTCTATTAAATAAAAAGAAATAGAAAGATTCAAACTGAACTTACGTGAACATAATTTCTGACTGGCACCAGTGGAACATGACAAGTAGCTACGTGGAATATTTTCCTTCTCCTCACCTTGACAAAGAAAGAATTCTTAGTGATAGTTAAAGATAAACAAATCAACCTTAATGTCGCCAGATCTCAGATTAGATATATGAAGCAGTAATTATACTAAATGATCATCTAATATTATAAGAAAGCACAGGAAGCTGACAGAAGCCGTGTATGATTCAAAGCACTGATGTGAATATCAGTAGCATTAATAAAACATTGATAGGTAATAATAAGTACATAGTCATATAGAAATATATGAAATAGATGTAAAAATGCACATATTTATATACATTGTATGTATAATAGGAGTGTAAGGGTACACATATTATTTCCGGAAATTTTCAGTACGGGTCTTTTGGTTCGGTTCGCATATGGACCGTTACACAGTCCTAATATGGAGCTGAAAGCTGCTAATGTGAATAATTTGGGTAGGCCATCAATATAGATCAGGTACCGTTAATTTCCAAAATGTTCACCTTAATGGATGTTTACTTTATTTTTATGTATTTGAGAGAATATTTATTTCTATGTACTTTTAAGTAAATTTTAGTCTTTTATTAGTACTTTGCAGCAGTATTGACTGAAAATATTATTTAAAAAAATCATACTTTATTCAGCAAACCACAGCTTAGTAAAGAAAAAAAGAAGCAATTTATATTTTGTTTCTTTTACCTCCCGCTATACCGAAAATGTACAGAACCGTGACTTCAAAACCGAGCTACATACTGAACCGTGATTTTTGTGTACTGTTACACCCCTAAAGTACAATATGTATAATTTCAAAAACAAAAAAAATCCAAAAGAAAAAATATTAAATAAATAGGAAATATGAAACTAATTATAATAATTATTGACTTACTTTCACATGTGATTTCAGTCACTTCATCATGATCACATTTATTCTCCTCCCAGGGAGCAGACGGACACTGATACAGTGTGGAGTCATGGGGGCGACACTGGAGCTCGTCAATCCAGTGTGGGGCCCCTTCCAGCCGAGACCGTGTATTCTGAACAGTGCCACTCTTTCCACAGCTAAGATGCTGACATATGAGACTAGCTGTGTTTGCATCCATTTTATTGTAGCAAACATTTCCCCAAGTGTTATTGTAGAAAACCTCCAGCTGTCCAGAGCAGCCTTTGGCCAGTTTAAACTCCATGAATTCTATATGGAAGCAGATGAAGTGAATAAGTTGTCATGTTAGACAATCTTTGAAATGAAAATGTAAATAAATTGGCATTATTAGTAAATAGTAAATCTACTCCATAAGTCAGCTCTTAATAATGGCATATTCAATAACTGGTTAAATATTATTGACATATCATCTTCCCTGTCTAGTAGGTTGTTATACATATAACAACTAGGATAAAATGTCTTAGATATAACAGTTTGAATTTATAAATGTCACATTCTCTTCATGGATGTTCACTTTCCTCACCTGAACACACAACTCCCACATCTTCCTTGTGCTGACAGTCATTCTGTCCCCATTGTACTGGACAGTCCCACAGAGACGTCTCATTCCCCTCACAGTCCACCTCATCCAGCCAGATGGGTCCAGTTCCTGCTCCAAAGAAGGTGGGCACTGGGTCACTGAGAGCCG